TTTCTGGTGCTTTCACTTCCAGAGACAGTTGTAAGCACTGTGTAACTGCCTTGAGGGTGCTTGACCATTTTAGCACAACGTGGTGCGATCATTCCCCTTTCGCGGAGCAGGTTCTCCACCCCGCACAACATGATCTACTCGACCACCATTATGGTTACCGCCAAAAAAAAAAAACGGAGGTAAAAAAAAAAAAACGGTAACCTGGTTGCCGAGTTCACGAAGTGAATTGGCTTGTTTTACAATGTCGTTGCCAAGCGACGAAAACCCAACCCCGATGGCAAACACCGAGGGGGGGAGGGGGGGGGGGTCCGTGGCGACAACCCATCCCTCCCTCATAAGCTGCCTGCTGGCATAAATCACTGTACCGAACGGCCCCGGAGACAAGGAACGTCAAAAATCGGGTCGAGCACAGATTGTTGTATTGAAGAATGGTCTAGTGCAGGATCCACCGCTCAAATTTAGGCCAATTATCTCAGTAGTTTCCGTCAAAATTTGAGCCCCTGTTCCTTAACGAAATACAGTACACCTGTTTTTTTAACTACCACTACTACCACTACCACTACTACTACCACTACTGCTACTACTACTACTACTTCCACTACTACTACTACTACTGCTGCTGCTGCCTACACACTTACCGTTACCCCGGCGATCGCGCGCACCAGGGGCACGTTGCTAAGGGCCAGCGCCGCCGACGCCGCGGTGATGGCGAGGGGCACCGGCGGGTGCACGGTGTCGTACGACAGTACCCACGACAGCAGCTGCGTCTCGTGAAACCAGCCCGGGTGCATGGCCGGGCGGAGGGGGCGGTCCATCAGGCGTGACACCAGCGTTTCCTTGTCCGACGCCCTGTTAAAAAAAGAAAAACAGCAAAGTGAGACGGGGGTAAGGGGAGAGAGAACATGACAAGAAACAGAACACGCGAACCAAAAAACGGACGGAAGAAACAAAGCACCTTTTTTTTAATTACGTGAGAAGATGGATGGACAAGTGAGAAGGTTGGAGTGGAGGCCAGGGGCAGGGGGAGAGCATGGCAATTCAACAAAATGTAACGAAACACGTGCACCGAAACAAACGGGGAACAAACGGGCCCGCCGAAGACGATGCAGGGTGTGCGTAGAAAGGATCTTTGGGGTTTTCAAGACAAAACAGTCGGGCAGGGGGAGCAAAGGGACGTTTCTCCTTCACCAGCAACATAACCCAATACACGATCGCCTAACGGCAGGGCCCCAACAAAATTGCTACAGGCTTCACGGTACAGAATGGTACGGAATGGTATGGTACGGTACGGAATGGTACGGTACGGTATGGTACCTTCCGTCCCGCTTGTTGTATCCGCCGGACGTCATTCCGGCCGCTGAGAACCGTTCCATGTAGTCCACGCGCAGAGGCGAGAAGTTCGACGTCGTGGTTTTCTTCGCATTTCGCCGGGCGGCACATGATAGGTGCGGGATGGGGAGAGAGAGAGAAACGAGGAACATGCGGAGGAGAAAAAAGGTTGAGGCGGCGCAATGGTATTCGGTGTGGATAGAAACCACTATGGTTAGGTTGTAGTCAGCGCTGAATACTCTGATGGTTAGATATCGGCTTCTAAATGCTGCAAGATTCTATACCCTTCAAGAAGTTTATTACACGCCCTGCAGCGGACCACGTGGAATGCGAAGACAGATGATAGGAATGCGGCTCTTGTACTAAATGTGCTCCAAGAATCTTAGCTTCCAAGAACAAGGATAAAGCGAAAATTCGATGCCGTTTTCATCTGCAGCATGTTTGCCAGCGTACCACACCGTCCGCTGCAGCGATCACACACTCTTAAAATCACCAGGGATATGCGGGTTATGGTTTCTGACGAAAGCCTCACACGACATGCGCACAGCGTCGAACGCCACAGAGATGGGGGGTTTTATCTTCTTCGGCCCCGCGTACACACGCCCTTTTCCTTCTTCGACAGTTATTGTTTTGGGATACACCTACGGCTCAGTACCTTCGTCTCCACGGACAGTTTCCTACCGATTTCCTGGTGTCCGATTAAAAAACTAGCCAGAAAACACACAGAAAACGGAGCCACACCGGTCGCCCCGGCGGCTCAGTAGGCAACCCGGCCTACACTATTGCATAGGGAAACTACGAGCACTCCTTCAGCTTTGTATCTGTCAGGATGTGATCCCGCCGTCTACAACATTTTATCCTGCTGCTGTAGGGATGTGTACATGCTCCTGTCCTACCAAGTGCTCTTTGCGTGAAAGCGGCCGGCTCTCAGTACGTACACTTGCTCACCCTGTCGGTGCAGGCTGTGCTGTAGACGACGGTCTCGCCATCCCTCGCCATCACGGCGCCGCTCGCCTGCCTCCCGACCTTGCCGGTCTCGAACGACAGATCTCTCCCGCCCACCGTCACCGTCAGCACGCTCACACCCCCCTCGCTCTCCTCGATGCGGCGGCGCCCCCCCCCCTCATCCCCGCTGCCACCATCCATGGTCATGCCTCCGGAATTCCCGCCGCGTGCGCCTCCGACCCATCTGCGGGACGATTGACGCCGCCTACTGCTACTGCCACGGCGGTGGGATGCTGAAGTAGGATGTAACGAGGATGGAAAACCCTCAAAGCCTGCTGTTGATTGCCGATGTGGGGGGGGGAGGGTCCAGCTCAATCATTGTGTTGCAGACTTGAGAATTTGTGGGCTAGGTGAAGTCCTCCAGAACTTTCTTAAATCTCCTTGCGATTGTTATTACCCAACCATGACATGTATGAATCTCTAAAGAAAACGTGTCAATACTTGCATGAATGTACTGCTGACGCGGTTACCAGTAACCTTGTTGTTTGGCAGCTGTAGTTGTGTTTGCTGTTGATGTGCCTGTTGTCTTGGTTGTTGTCATTGTCAAGCAAAACCACCACACCTCTTGTACCAGTCTGTCAAGAGACAGCAGTGAAGAGGACGCTGATGTCGCTGTGGTTGCCACGTAAGGCCGCTGCCCAATCTTAATAAGCAGAGTGTCCGGGACGGTTGGATAAGGAAGGAACTGCTGTACCCTTCCCACGCCACAACAAGCGGCCTACGCGATGACCTCCTGACACACACCGCACTTCCCTGTTTGAGACCTGGCAAAATACAATGTAGTCTACTACTGTACGTCAGCTAGCTCAAGGGCCTCCCTCCGACATTGTAACGAAACTTGCAAGCCGCAGCGGTAACGATCAGGATACGGTTTGCTGGCGGGCTCTGAATAGCTACATTAATAGCGTAGACGTATCCATACCGCCGCCTACACAACCGCCGTTTAGCTGCTGCTGGATTGGCACTATAGGCATCATGATTGCTACAGACGAGAATCCTACGGGTGGGTCCGCACTTATGTTGTGGACGCCAGCGAACGGCGGCAGGAAAGGATGGCACGCGCCCAAGCCTTTCCACAGAAGAAAATTCAAACAATGGAGAGAGCATGCTGTGTATGCGTGCATCATGATGCGATGACAGCAGCAAGAGCTGACAGCAGCAGCCGTGTTTACGCGACGCAGTGATTTGGCGAGCAGTGGTTGCTACTTGTTTTTGGGACCATCAATATGGAGCAGACCAAACGCAGACAATTCTATGTCAACTGTCACAAGGCTACCCACGACAGATGAACAACCCGCAGTCCTTGCCTGGCCGTCTCTTGCTCCCCAACACTCTCCTCTACATCAAGGCAAAGGCCATCACTCACCGGGTACTGATAGAGACAAGGGAACGAACGCCGACACCTTTGAAGTAAACGCCAACACGGCAGCTACGGCAGAGAGCGCCCCCCCTCTCCGAATACGGCAGCAGAGCCCCTCGTTTGGTCCATTGCTTTCTCCCATGGCGACCCCGTCCGCAGCCAAACAAAGTACTCGGTGGGCTCTCTGCGTGTGCCCACGGACACAGAACCACATTACTGTTGTTGCTCATGATCCGGGGCCACGTAGAAGGGAGACAACAGGGTACGATGGAGTTGCATTAAACGTCCAAGGATTTCTACATAGGGGGGGTCGAGCATGCCTCCACTGGCGTTTCTTGTTTGCAAGTGCAGGTGTGCCACCCACCAAACACATTCTGCGGAGATGCGACAAGTACCCACCCTTCACTTGCAAGGCGCCATAAGGCGCGCACTCTCGAGAGCACTTCATGGTTCCTGGAAACACACGCGTGCACCAAATCTCCACATCAATATGCCGACGAAACACATGCGGCGCATCTATTGACGGTTCCAACTTCCAGTCCGGCTGTCCGGCTGTTGCATGTTCGAAGCGCGCCGCAGCTACAGTACATACCTAGCAACACACAGCGTCGCCTCTAACGCGATGGAGAATACGATGACGAAGGGCGAACAACTGGTTGATGAATCAACTTTAGTCCCTGTTCCGACTTCGCAACCAGCGTGCGCAGATGAGGTGATACTGATGTTTTGCAGTAATGGAGATTTTTCGTGTCAGCATCAAGAATTCAAGTGTCCCTCTCGCAGTTAAGATCCCACACGGATCATCCAGCACAACAAACCAATCCCGCGCGGAGTGTGCACACAGAGTGTACGCCAACGTCTTCCTGTGCTTGTCCATTAGGGTATCATGTATCATCAACCACCGTATCCTCAATCTGGCGGCAGCAGATATAAGTAAGGATAGCGACGAGGCATCAGTCTGAAAAACTATGTTACACTGTACAAAGTTTAGACCGTCCCCTCATCCGTTGAATGCACCGTCAGCGTGAAGTTCAGGAGCAGCAGAAACTACCTGCCGAACCACAGACAATGGTGGCATCAGCATCGTATACCGTTGGTCGGGCGTTTCGGTCATCCGCGTCCGTCTCGTCGTCGACGAAATCGGCCTCGGCACCGCCACAGCAGCAGCAGCAGCAGCAGCAGCGACCAAAGCGCTTCAGCCTGCGAGATGGCGCACGAGACGCCATTGCGACCATGAAACAACTAGCCGAAGACAAACAAGTAAGAAATTGTACCTCCTCGATGTACATGTAGGCATCAAGCTAAGACTCGACCCAGTACCAAATTACACAGCTCCCTCCGCTGATCATATCCACATCAAAGAATCTACTGGGCACTGGCCGAACTGCTGTGGATATCTGCGATGTGGAGACGATAGACACATCAAGCTCCCACGGAACCCAAAGGCGAATAGAGGTTTCGCACGACCACTCCTTGTTCTCGATATACAATCGCTAGGAATAATGTGCATGGATCTGATGCAGGCTCCGTCGATTCATTTCCGTCTTGCTTGGTGCTCCGAACGCGCCGTGGCGCCTTCGCCTTTCGGAGCAGATGGTCGTCGCGGAACCTCTGTATGACTTCTACAACACCGAGATAAACTTGCACTTCCTGCATGCCTTGGTGAGTCATGCAAGACCCCTACGCCGCATAAAGCCGTCATGGGACTATAAGTTTGTGCGCTGAGAGGTCAGCACAGGAAGAGACCGCGAAAAAAACGCTGCTGGCCTTGGGAATGTTCGACAAGAGTCACTTGCATGACTACTCCATCGGCGTGGAAGCTGCCAGACGTCGGTGACACTGTTATGTACCGATTCATTTCTATCCCCCACAGTATTCTGATCCAAAACTGTTCGCAAGTACGACTCACCTGATGTAGAGGCACAGCCAGGAAAGTAATCTTCGGTTCTAGGACGTAGAGGCTTGTCCCGAAAAGTGGCTAGTGCAACACGGTACAACATGCAGAACACCCGATCGTTCACAATGCTAACTAGTTCTGTCAATGAACTGAAAGGGAGGCATCGGAAGTATAAACAGACATGGTTTCTCTATGGAGATGCCATTCCCTTTGTCCATTTGAACTGTAGGCCAAGCAGCGAGTAAACCCTCCCTCGGGGATGCGGGGTGTTGTGGATATCGTCTGAGATACCCTTGACAAGTGGGCAAGGCTGTGCCCCTCGATGGTACTCGAGATGGTTGGCACCGCGAGCGGTTGAAGATCAGGAGAAGGGTGCTTCTTGTGCTGTGTAGAGACGTGAAGATACGTTGAACACTGGCGTTTAGTTGGTCAACACACTGATAGATCCACAGAGAACGCAGAAGGCGAGATGACGGCAGTTCCTAGAGATGACTATTCAGAGAAGTCCATGCGAGACATCCATGGGAGAGATCCATGCGAGAGATCCATGCTAGAGTGAGAGACACGCGATCCCTCGAGCAGAGATTGCTACAGCAGTATTTCATCCGCATACAGATGCGTTACGTATGAACCGAAACATACAGTTTCTACGATGCATGATCTACGATAGAGAGCAATGCTACTAAACATTGACTAGTACAGGACATAATCCAATATTTCTATAACACTCCCCCTCAATGAAAGTTGCATTGAATCTACAGAAAATCTTGTACAAGAAACAAAGCCGTGTGATGCGTCAACCACTGAGTAAGATAAATAGCAAATGTAATGTGCTTGCAGAGTACTGTTCCTGTTTTCCTGCGCTTAAACAAAGTACTTGTGATTCAACCTAGCCTAAGTGGCTATTCAACCAGCGATGGTGCGAAGTCGAGAAGTTAACGACTGAACTAGTAAACTGATTCACACAACAAACAACAGACGACAAACACACAATCATTGAAGATGAAGATGTTGAAGATGTTGATCTTGAAAGACAAAGTTGAAGATGTAGAATGTTGTTCTCGATGATGGCGAAAGATGTGAAGCGATGACGTAGAAGCGCCATAACTCCCCCAGAGAAGAATTGTACGATGAAACTTGTAATATCAAAACGTGCCAAAGAACCCGTCAGGGAGATCGGAGTCTTTCTGGACCATTGAAGGTGTCGCGTTCGCCGAAGCCTCAGGCAGGGTCTCCCTTATAGCGGTGAAAGAGAATCCGTACGTGGATGGCTTGGTTCCCTGGTTCTGGGTCAGGTGGGCGCTCCCAAAGTTGTTGGAAGCCTGCGGTCCCTGTTGTTGCGCTACGTGGCCGCTTCCGATGTTGGAGACGTTTGTTATGCCAGCAGATTGAAGCAGCGCCAGGTTTGCAGCCAATCCCTTAAGCTCCTTTTGCTTTTGGCATTCATCGTCACCGTGTGTAGTGGTGTCGTGATATGAGCACCACTTGGCTGTCTGTCACCATTGCCTTTCTTCCCTTTCTTCCATTTCTTCTTGTTGGTTTGGTTTCCGTCGGTCTTGCAGTGTCCGCACTCCTTGCAGCAAGAGCCCGTTCCTATGGCAGACATCCTCATTGCCATTCCTCGCCCTGATACATTAGGCATTACATTTTTCATGTCTATGTTTTAGGCGATGGCGTTCTTTTCAGCGATTCGATATCGAGATAGTCGTCCTCGTAGTGTCGGTGTCTGATATACTCGAATTTCTTCGGCAGGGCGTATAGAAGCAAGGACTCGTACACTTCATCAGATATTTCCTCCTCCATTTCTTGGAGACGGTCACTCAGGCGGTCGGTGTTCGCGAAGAAGTCCTCCGGGTCGACGTGTTCGTCCATTGTGCTCCGGAAGAGCTCATCCCGTGCAACACACCTGGCTTGTTTGGTGTTGCCGTCGAACCGCTCCTTCAGGGCTTTCCATGCAGAAATTCCGTTCCCCATACCATCGCCCGTCTTGCCCATTAATGTCTTTACGGTAATGTGGGCTGACCCGGCGGTCATGAAGAAGAGGACGGAAAAGGGGTAATTGTTTGTCGNTCGAACCGCTCCTTCAGGGCTTTCCATGCAGAAATTCCGTTCCCCATACCATCGCCCGTCTTGCCCATTAATGTCTTTACGGTAATGTGGGCTGACCCGGCGGTCATGAAGAAGAGGACGGAAAAGGGGTAATTGTTTGTCGCTGTCCAAGCAGCAGCCGCTGCAGCATTGGCAGCGCCTGTGGGACGACGTTGGCCGTCGAGTACGGCAAGCATTTTCGGCTTGTAGCGGCCAATGGCCATGCGCATCTTGGGCTCCCTCTCGCGGTAGTTGGAGTAGCCCTCGCATTTGCCAATTAGTTCCAACGTGCGGTCGAATGCCGACGAAGATGATTCAGCCATTGTCAGCCAGTTCTCCACACAAGCTCAGAAGGCTGCAAGAGAATAATGCCGCGAATGCCCCGAGTATCTAAGGACTCGAAGCGCAGAAACAGTGCCGTAAGTTTGGTGTGCAAACCCGTATGTGTACGACCCCGTTTTGAAAGCTGTAGATTGCAGGCCGGAAGCCAAAAACCGTTGTCCGCGGGAATCTTTCAGTATCCGGTCAGACTGTATGCTGTGCTCTGAGAAGACACAGGCTCAACCGACCACAGATGGCTAGGCTGCGGTTGTGTGGCGTCGAAGTTGCCAGCTCCGGCCACGTCTTGCAGGCACACTGGTCAGATGTACTGCTCCGACTATTATACTGCTAAGTGAGTGCAGTGTATATCCTCAATTTGCACACGTGCCAGAAAATGTATACGTGAAAGATATCTTGGACCAACCACGCCTGGGCGTAGTTGTTGTGACGTCGGCACGTAGTATGTGCGTCTGTATGGGTGAGACTGCAGCAAAAGATGCTGGGCAGCCTAGGTCAGATCCTCAACCTAGTCACGTACTGAGGTTGCACTCTGCACGTGAAAGATATATTGAACAGACCTACCAGTTTGATTGTTGGTGTCACACGCAGAACCTTGTGAAAGGCACTCTGCACACGACCAACCGTGACAAACTGTTTGCACAACTCTATTCGCCGACCGGAATCAACCCCCAGAAATTATGCCCCCGAATGCTCTACACGAACAGTAGCGTACCGAATATGCAGCAGCGAACGCCAGATGATCAGTCTGGGCCCAGTAAGCAAGCGGGTTGACTCGGCGCAGAACCTCCAGCAGAAGCTAACTCCAGCAGAAAGATCTCCCCGTAGAATCGTAGAAGGCGATGTTTGTGTGCACGCCACAGCACTCGATGACAGCAGC